CACAGAGATCCAGAGGGATTTCTATCTCTGGAATGCTAGGATTAAAGGTGTGAGTGCCACCATTTTCTAGCCTTTGTATCTAGTGGCTGTCTGTTCTCTGACCCCAGATAAATTTATTAGAGTACACAATATTTTGGAGAACATAATACCACCACAAAAGAGAGCCATCCATACAGAAGAGCAAATGCAGAAGCTGCAGGTAACATCAGTAGGGCTGGAACCGTCCGCACAGAAAACCAGACAGCATCAGTAGATCAGGTAGACAGGTTCAGGCAAGCACTGGATGGAGTGGTGCTCTGTAGGCCACAATTACGAATTCAAATTGTATCCAACAGCAATATTCCCACAGAAAGTCACTCATGCATTCAACCTGAGGTGCAAGCGTTGATGTGAGAACCTGTTCATTCTATAAATAGTAACTGAGCGTTGGCCTCATGCCAGACATTCTTCTAGGTGCTATAACAGAAAATCATGAGAAGCCAGATCAAGCAAGAGACATGCTTTCTTCCCGGATGGTAGTGTGTGCACAGATCAAGCAAGAGACATGCTTTCTTCCTGGATGGTAGAGTGTGCACAGATCAAGCAAGAGACATGCTTTCTTCCTGGATGGTAGAGTGTGCACAGATCAAGCAAGAGACATGCTTTCTTCCCGGATGGTAGAGTGTGCACAGGAACCACTCTCGAACTCTGGAAATACATACGGTGCAGTTGCCAGGGCAATTCTCATTTTCACTCTCAGGTGACGGCACACTTACACATCCTCAAGAACATCCTTTAGGGAAATCAGCCGCTTGGTCTATCTTAGGAGTCAGTCAAAGCAGGGGTGAATCAGGAAGCTGTCAGGTACAGATGAAACTCTACTTCCAGTTCTGGACCCGTTCCCCTCCACCACAGGAGCCATCCTCGGCACTGCCAGCGGGACAAAGAGCTCTCTGTGGGGCCTATCAGCATATCAAGTGCACGCTAGCCTCCAGGCTGATACCAGCGACTCTCTCCTGCTCTTCCCACTCAACCCCTACCTACCCTAAACTTCTCCAGATCATGGGCTTCCCCTGCCCTAGCTTCTCATTTCCACAGAGCCCTGCCATTTCAGCCACATGCTCTCTTGGCTCTCTCTTTTGTCTTCCTCTCTCACTCTCCCCCACCTCTCTCCTCTCAGGGCCAGGTCCAATCTGCTGGCTATGTTTAGTCTACTACTTTCTCTCCCTGTTCTAGACTCTTCCAGATGCCTCTGGCTGTCCTCTCCCTCATATCTATAATAAAAACCTTCCTTCTACCATACCTTTGAGGGGTCATGTCCCCTCTTCACATAGGAGCAACTCTCCTGTCCAGAACCAAGAGCTGGCATAGTATAGCCACTTGATATCTGAGTGTCTACTGTATGTCAGCGGCTGCGGTAAATAGCAGGAATCCAGCGAGAATCTCCACAATCAGTAAGTTGTTCTGTGGGAAACACCACATAAAACAGTTCCAAAATGTGCAAAGAGATGCACGAGCAGGGCACTGAGTGAGCCCCTTCTGCTCAGGCAGCTTCATGCCCTGGCTTCCCTGACCCTTCCACTGCCCCCCAAATCTCTCATCTTACCAACCTCTCAACTCCACACACTGAGATCAAGCTGTAGTCTTCTCTTTCTCTGCATTCCCCACTAGGAGCTACCGTCCCACAGTCTGAGCATTCTTGACACACTGGCTTTAGAATCTTACCCCGAAATGTACAGTTCCATCCCGACTTCTTCAACCACATACACTGCATTTATAGCCAAGAGGCAAGTCTAAGTTTACCTGCTCAAATCAAATCTTTGTGGCACCCCCACATAGCAGGTCTTTCAAAAGCTTCCTTTTTGATGGCAACAGCTTCCAATTGCTCAGACAGAGACCTCTGTGTCACCTGTGTCACATCCTGTCTCTGAGCGACTCTGCTATAAAGTTGGTGTCTCTGTCACGAGAACATATCCAAATGCTGGGATGGGGCTCAACTGTGCGCTTAACTACCATGCACAGCGCACTAGGTTCAATCCCCAGGCTTAAAAGGAAGAGAGCACATGCTCAGCCTTGAGGACACAGGCCTTTAATCCCAACACTCGGGAGACTGGGAAGGACTGTCATACATTTGAGGGCAATGTAGTTAAAGCAAGAATTTGCCGTGTGTGTGTGTGTGTGTGTGTGTGTGTGTGTGTGTACACATATATGTGTGTGTGTGTGTGTGTGTGTGTGTGTGTGTGTGTGTGAATGTGTGTATATATGTATATATGTGTGTATATATATCCCGGGGTTGGAGAGACAGCTCAGCAGTTAAGAGCACTGGCTTCTTTTCCAGAGGACCTGGGTTCAATT